ATAAGGAATACATCGAACAAAACTTTGATTGGAGTGTTGCATCCTAAGGATTTATTGATTAGAAAATTCTGAAACCATTGTAAAAAAGATTATTTTTCATATTTTTTAACTATTACTGTATATACTTTATAGGGGGGGGTAGAGGGAGGTAATTCGGTGAATTTAAAATTTTTTAAAATTCGTAATCAGTTACAAATTTATTTATTAAAATAACAAAGGTTATTATTCTATATAAAATTTAAAATGAAATAAAAAGAAAAAAGTTGTAAACTGCAGAACTTTTATTAGTGTTGAAATATTTTAATCTTTGGTAGGTAAAATGGTGAATCGATAGTACAGTATTACGATCTGATCAGAATTAGGGAACTCATTTCTACATTCGTTAAAATACAAACTAGCTACATTAAAGGTTTATACAGTTTATATCTTCGAAGTTTAAATTAAAACTATCAAAATATAAACTGATAAACGATTCATACTTTCAATAAAAAGATTAGAACCTAAAACTAATAAATTTTTTATATGTAATAAAATAATAAAAACGTAAAGTTAAAAATTTATTAAGCACATATAATACTAGCGTTTTACATTACTCTATATAGTTTAGCAACTAAACTTGATGTTTAATTTAGATTGTGGTCTTTTCGATATTTAGTTTAGTTTCAGAAGCCATAAATACATCAGAATTGAACAATGTTCACATTTAGCTGAATAAAAATCTCCAATTTTTTTTTTTTTACCAACATCTAGGTCGACCACCAGAATTGGGTTTTTTATTTAAATTATTATTATCTGTATATATTATAAGTTAATTTTACCATTTAATTTTAACTATAGCAGATAGTATATGAAAAAATTAAAACGTTATGACCTTAGTCAGTATTAGATCCGCCACTTTACCTACCTTTACCAAATTACCTCCCTCTACCTTATATCGTTATTTTCTTTAAAAAAAAAAATTTTTTCAACCACACATGTATAGAAATCCATATTTTTTCATTATAACTTTGATATTTCAACCTTTGTACCGACACCGGCATATAATTTATAGAGATGAAAACTCGGTTCATTCGACTTACTATTAATCGGTTTTTATAATAATTGTGGCGGATTATAATGAAATCGGATTAAAATGAAATTTAGGGTCTTCTTGCGTCCCCTTTAAAGCCTATAAAACCCACTTATACTCTTTTATTAACAACCCTAACCCTAAATCCTAACCTTAACCCTAAAAAAATACACCCCGAAAATTTTTAAAATTTCATTAATCCGTCACAGTAATAAAGTCGATCTGTATCAAATTACTGTGATCAGCAAATTTCGTGCACACGAAGATCTGAGAAAATATTATAAAATACAGACTTGTGATTGACTAAAAATTACATAATCAATTTTTATAACTGATTTTCTTTGGATATTGAAGTTATATATTTTTATAAACTTTGAATGAAGATATTTCAATAACGGTTCATATTAATTTGCAAAAATTCGAAAATAGCTTTGAATATTAAAAATTAAAAGTACGTCATAGCAATTTCTTGTTCAAAATTTGTGAAAAAGTAATTATCACTTGATTAACCATCACAAGACATAATATACTAATGTATTTTATAGTAAAAAGTCACGTATTCGGCAGGGAATCTTTGGAATTGATATTTTTTAAATGGCAATTTGTAAAAACGAAGAATTTAAATAAAGAAATTCTGTAAATTTCTGCGTGGTGAGCAATCATCTGATCACAGTAATTTGAAAAGCGCAATAATTTATCGTTATATCGATATACGTATCAATCAATACAATCAAACATAAAATAATACTCGTAAAGAAAACAAGATTAGCTCAACACGTGATATTATGTAATAGGTTTTTTCTCCGATTGGTTAGCTTGATATTTTAATTATATCTATAAAATACTACTGTATACACGTACTTAGTTCGTACTTTTTGCTTTAAAAAAATAACATCTTAAATCATGTTTGCATCATTAAAATCTTATTTTTCTGAAAATACTTCTGAATCCCAGGAACAGTTATCATCAAAGATGGCCTCTGAGTCCTGTGAACAATCTTCATCAAAAGAAGAAATTTCTAAAGACGATGATTCATTTGTGACTATTTCTGAATCCCGAGAACAATCACCTGCTTCTAAATCTCGTGAAAAATCTCCGTCCACAAAAGAAACTCTTAAAAACGAAGATTTATCGACAAAAGTAACTGGTAATATAATGCAATTTATCAGTAGACTTCGTGGTGTTAATATAATTAATGAAAAGATTTCAATCGCTGAGAAAAGTAATGTATCATCCGTTCCTATCGATGTTGAAGATCTAAAAGAAATTGGTAACTTTTCATTTTTTATTTTTATTTTTATTTTTTGATTTGTTATTATCATTTTTAAAGTCCAGAATCATCTCTATCTCTTGTATTCTATTCTGAATTATTTATTTTATAACAGGTAAAGAACTCACATTTTTAACTAAAGGAGTAACAGAGTTAGCAATTGCTCTTGAAGATATTAATAAAACGACAAAGGAAGTAAAATCATGGGTTCAAAATAGAACTGATGAAATATCTGAAGAGAAATTACGTTTATTCATTTAGAATTGAAAACATATTTGTAAAATTTGAACAAAAATAAATCAATTTACATAATACGTATAATAATGCAGATTTTTTTTAGTACGTATGAAAAATGTATAACCCACATTATACATGTGTGCCTAAATTGCCCATCTTAATAAGGAATACATCGAACAAAACTTTGATTGGAGTGTTGCATCCTAAGGATTTATTGATTAGAAAATTCTGAAACCA